TTCGGCTAATAAAGACCTTATGGGCATAAGCTCTTTAAATCCTCATAATTGCCAGGTGAAGTTGGACATCTTAGCCCCCTTTTAGAGATGAGGCAACTTGCAGCCCAGAGAGGGAAAAATCCTTTGCCCAGGGCCACCCAGCTGGTCAGGGACAGAGTGGGGATATGAATCCATACACTGTCAGATTCAAGAGCCCACCGCTGTCCTCTATCCTGGACTGCATCCCAAAGACTGAATAACGGGTATAGTTCATTAAGAAAGACTACAGGTCTGGCTTGCCCTATAGGCATGAAAGGGTCCCTTCAGTGCCTAGAACAGTGCCAGGCTAGATCAGTATCTGTGTAATCAACAGCAGGAGGATATCTTTCGGTCCTCTCAACTACCCAAGAGGAGGATATCACTAGTTCTGTTTTATGGATGAAAAATGAGGTGCTCACAGAGGACCTCACGTGGTGGATCACGTGGTGGAGCTGGGCCATAAATCCAGTTGTCTGACACCACGCCTTGGGTCTTTCCCAGGATTGCTGCCACCTCCCACCTGCAGTCACAATAAGGCTTTCATAGTGCTCACCACAGGCCAGGTACTATTCTAGACACGGATGGGCCCAGGGAATCCTCTCTGCAGCCCTCAGGGGCAGGTAGCTTGTCTGCAGTCTACATATGGAAAAGCCTCCATTCACTCACCCTGCTAGGTAGGCCACGTGGCCTGTGCCGGGGTCACAGGTTAGGCCACTGCTGTTCTGGGCTGTGATGCCAAGTACCTTCTCCAGTGACACCTGTGGAGAAAACATCCAAGTCAGAAGGACCTGTCCCAGGAGGTCCTTCGTGGCACCAGTGCTTCAGCCACCCATTCAGTCCCTGTGACCTCCAACACCAAGCTTCTACAGACAGGCTACCAACAGCTGACATTTGTTCTTCTCAACATGGCTTTGAAGGACACAGAATGGTGAGGAAGACAGACAAAATCCCTGCCCTCCTGGAGCTCACATTCTAGTGGTGATGGGATGGAGGACATAAAAAACAACAAATATGTAAAATAGATGTCAGGTGATGATAGGAGCAAAGAGAACAATAAAGCAGAGAAGGAGACTAGGAGTATAGGGGAAGGAGAGAAGGCCTCACTGAGAAGGTGACCTCTGAATAAGTTTCTTTCTAAGTATTTTATATGGATGAAAGGTTTGAAACCCTACAACAACGCAAGGAAGAAGGCGCAATTGTCACCCCTATTTTTTTTAAGATTTTTTTTTTTAATTTATTTGACAGAGAGAGACACAGCGAGAGAGGGAACACAAGCAGGGGGAGTGGGAGAGGGAGAAGCAGGCTTCCCGCTGAGCAGGGAGCCCAATGTGGGACTCGATCCCAGAACCCTGGGACCATGACCTGAGCCAAAGGCAGACGCTTAATGACTGAGCCACCCAGGCGCCTGTCACCCCTATTTTACAGATGAGGTCATTGAGACTCAAAATCCCACACCTGTGGAGTGGCAAGGTTGGGCTACAAACCCAGCTAGTCTTTGGCTCCAAAGCCAGTACCCTGGGCCCTGCAGGAGGGACAGCAGTGAGCAAGAGTGGACACCATCTGTTCCCTCAGCAAATTCACAGTCTAGAGGTTCAACAAGTAAAGAAACAAGTGAACAGTCACATTTAAAATTTAAAAATTCTCTAAGCAAAGCAATTTAAATGGGCGAGTCTCCATCACGGTTGATTAAAACTATTTAGAATATGGACTATTAGAACTGTGGTACTTTCATATCCTGAATATACTAGCTTCCAATTATTACAAAGTAAAGCATTCTCAAGCAAGTCCTTGGCCTCAGAAATGAGAGGCAAACATAGGATAATAATAGCTCACACTTCTTGAGCATTTACCAAGAGCCAGGCACTGTTTAAATACCTATAGCTGTACTGACTTATCTAATGTTCACAATAACCCTGTGATGTAGGCATTATCATCATCATCATCATCTCCATCTTACAGATGAGGATATAAAGGGGCCCAGAGAGGTAACCCATCCAGGAAGGAGCAGCACCAGAACTCTAACCCAAGCAATCAGGCAATGGCACTCACATCGTTTTTTATATCTGTCAATCAGCATTACTGGGTATTAATATAATGGTCATTTTTTAAAAAGATTTTATCTATTTATTCGACAGAGAAAAAGAGAGGGATCACAAGTAGGCAGAGCGGCAGGCAGAGGCAGAGGGAGAAGCAGGCTCCCCCCTGAGCAGAGAGCCTGACACAGGGTTAGATCCCAATGCGGGGCTCGATCCCAGAACCCCGGGATCATGACCTGAGCCAAAGGCAGATGCTTAACCAACTGAGCCACCCAGGCACCCCATAATGGTAATTTTTAAAGTAGATCTTATGTTAGCCAGAGGGACTCTGTGCCACCAAACAAGAAAAATAAATAAATGACACCAATTACCCAAAATACAGAATCAAAGCAGTAGTAGCTACCACTAATAGAGTAATTGCAATGTGCCAGGTATTGTTCTAATGCTTAAGATATGTGAGCTCACTTAATCCTCACAAATACCCTACAAGGGAATCTTTATATTATATTTATAAATATGTATTTACATTATTATTCTCATTATTCTCATTTATATTATATCCGTATTTCCTCAGATGAGGAAATTGAGGCACAGAACAGCTCATAACAAGAACAGAATTAAGGGGGCACTTGCGTGGCTAAGCATCTGCCTTTGGCTCAGGTCGTGATCTCAGGGTCCTGGGATAGAGCCCTGCATCGGGCTCCCTGCTCCACGGGGAGTATGCTTCTCTCTTTCCCTCTGCGCCCGGCTCACGCTTACTCTCTCTCACTCTCTCAAAATAAATAAATAAAATCTTAAACAAAACAAAACAGAATTAAGGTTTAAGCCCAGGCAGTCTGGGTCCAGAGGCTGCTTAACCACATTGCTTACTGCCTCTCTGAAATTGCTATTGCTATTCCTCTATTTTATACACAGGTTAGAGCTCACAAGGCACTTTCAGGAACATACAAGATAAGGGCTATGAAGTACAGGATGCTAGGTAAAAGATTAAAGTAGATGTCTGTCTTAGGCTGGGGTTCAAGAAGACCTCTCAGGGTAGGGATATTCAGGCTGAGAATTGAGGGATGAAGAGCCAGCCAGGTGGACTGCAGCGAAAAGCCCAGAGGACTCAGCAAACACTTAGGAGGTGGTAAAGATCTTGGAGCCCCAGGAAAACAGAAAGCAGGCTAGGGTGACTGACCATTGGTAAAAGAGAGGACAATGGAGGTATGGCCAGAGAGGTGGGCAGGGTCCACTTGCCCAGGCCTTGCAGCCAGGAATGGGTGATATAATCAGAGTGCAGCAGGAATCTTTGTGGCAGGAACAAGATCCACCAGCATCTACCATGTTTGCATCCTCTACCTGGACTCCGCCAAGCAGGTCATAGTCACAATTTCATTTCTGCTCCCTGCAACTCCATGGTATGGTTATTGTAACTTCTATTTTATAAAAACAGACTTTGTAGCTCAGAGAGTTGGAGAACAATTTTTTAAATTGCTGCTGTGCTAATGGAATTCCTTCTACCTACTCTAAAATCTTTGTTTCTCTAAGGACTCAGGGAACTGTTCTGTACGCCACCCCTCCCCCCCCCGGAAGCGGTGCTGAGATTTTACAATCACTCAAATGGTCTCCATAATTTGGGGTGGCAATATGTAATAATTCCACACTGGTAAGGGAGAAGGAAAGAGAAGGCAGGTAAGGCGAGAAGGTGGAGCGAACTGAGGGACAGACGAGGTAGGTAGGATTGGGGACTGAACACTGGTAGATACCCTAAAGATCCAGCGAAGAGAGAGGTCAACAAAAACGGAAGGGCCCAGAGAGACCTCTAAAGGTGACTGAAAGGATACGCAGGAAGGAGGGAGCCGATGGTGATTAGAACTAAAATACACTCGGAGGGAGGGGAGAAATGAGCTGGGAAAGGTGGGCACTGCCCGAGAGAGAAGGAAACGGGGGAGTGGGAGGAGCCCTGGCTAACGGGGCGGGACCTTGAAACGAAGCCGGCCAGAGAGGAGCCTGAGGGGACGAGCCGAGGGCTGATAGGCGGGGCCAACGATCTAAGGGCGGGACCAGGGGAGGCCCAGGGACCCCGGACCTGGGGTGGGCAGGGCAAACAGCTCCTCACCCGGTTCTGCACCGTGTCCTCCAGCGCCGCCGAGAATCGTGTCCGCCGCCGGAGACAGAGCGGCGGAGCGGGGGGCGGAGAGCCCTGGCCCCTCCGCGCCGGAACTCCCACCGTGACGGATGGCAGCTTCTCGACTGCATCGTTCCGCGCGTAGCCTCCGGGCCCCAAGGCTGCCATCGTCGTGCCGGAGCCCGGCGACCGTTACGCTCTTCAACCGCCGCCGCCGCCTCCGCGACCCACTAGAAGAGCAAACGGCCGCGGGAAAAGCCGCCGCCGCCGCCGCCGCTTCCTCCGCGACCCACTAGAAGAGCAAACGGCCGCGGGAAAAGCCGCCGCCGCCGCCCATTGGACGCGGCGGCCCGGGTCTGGCCAATGTCAGGGCTGCCGGGCGGCAGTTTAGACCAATGAGGGCTGAGAGGCGGAGCGAAGTATATGGCAGGGTGGAGCCATAGCTAGTTTACTTGATGTCTGATCAAGGGAAGTGGCGTTTTTTATGCGGTTTGTGTTTATCATTAACAGACATTAAGGTTTTAACTTTTACGTAGCTAAGACCAAAGCCTCCAGTTCGCTTTTTACTGCACTCCCCATCCCCGAGCAACTACCCACGCAATGGCAGTCACCCGGATGTAAGCGTAGGGTGGAGCCGAACGAGACGGACCACTTGGCGCAGGCTCAGAAAAGCCGTGACGCCACCTCTCCCCCAACACGTGGTAAGGTCAGGGTGGCTAGGAACCGGCTTTGCGCCGAAGGCGTCGCCTCTCCCCATTTGCCACGTGACCAGGGCGTAACGGGTAACACAGCTGGGCGCGTAGCGCGCAGGCGCTCTCTTCCCTCCCCCGCACGTGATGAGGCACAAGGGCCCATCACGTGAGTCAGGCGGAGAGCGGCGAGGACCAAAGCACGACTGCAGACTGGGCAGGACTCAATGGGGTCGAACAGCCATGCCCAAGTACTGCCGGGCTCCGAACTGCTCCAACATTTCGGGCCGACTGGGCGCTGACAACCGCCCTGTGAGGTTCTACAAGTGAGCGCAAGGGCGGGGCGGGGCTTCTGGGGGCGGGGCCCAAGGGTAACTGCAGCTGTGCCGGGCGCCTGGTCCAGCTTGCAGGTGTCTAGAAGTAAGGCTAGCAAAGTGAAGAGACGGTCTTCTTAGCACTAAATACGGCACAGGCGAAGGTGCAGATGTGTTAAAGCGCAGGGGTAGACGATTAACTACAGGTAGTGAAAGGGGCGAGCGTGAGAAGTGGGACTGTGGAGGGAGGAGCCTAAAACTGCCCACTCGTTATCTCCACGAATTTGAGGTCTCTCAAACGTAAAACATCCGAAACTGAGCTCTTGATCTGATCTTGTCTCCCAAACCTTCCACAACCTTTCCTATTTCAGTTAAGAGCTTCCTCCCAACCTTACAGTCATCCCTACCTCTTTTCTTTCCTCGCACTTGAGAAAGTAAAAATTAGCTTGAACTGTTTAAAAAAAAAAAAATCTGTCTTCCCATTTATTCCCCGGCTGGACTAAAAGACACGGGAAAATCTGGCTGAAGAGTTAATAGGAAAATATTTCTGTATTTTTCTCAGGACATGCTGCAGATGTAAAGTGAAAAAAAAAATTCCCCTTTGAGTGACTGCTGCTTTTTTACTAGGAAACTTTGTTCTCTAAAATCATAGGCTGTCCTAAACTTCGCCATTTGGAGTTACATCAGGAAAAATGAAACATCTCACTTAATGCCTGGAGGAGTTGTCACTTTGACACTGAGAAGCAACCTCAGTCGCTTCTGTCCAGGTGCAGAGCTTCAGGTAAGGCATTTCTGGACACAGTTTTCCACATCTACCTAAACTTTATTACTTTCAAGGAGACAGGACCCTGGACTCACTTCACAATCCAGACCTAATATCTATCCACACAGTTCTGCTTTGCTTTAAGCTTATACAAACAATTTCATTTACATTTCACCTAAAACTCACCCTTCTCTCAAATCCAAATAATAACCGGTTTTTTCCTTTGTTGGGTGGGACTCCTCATAGTACCTCCAGTGTGCAGTTTCCCTCATTGCCATAGTAAATAAACCTGACTCTGTTGGACTACAGGTGTGTCCCTGGTGGCCTTAGTCTAAATGGGCCGGGACGCATTCCTCATCCAGTCCATCAGCAGATCCTGTTGGCTCTCCCTTTAAAATATATCCAGAATTGACCACTTCTGACCCTCTTCTCTGTATTCTGGTTCTGACCATCACCATCTCCTGACTGCACTATTTTAGTAGCCTCTTCGTTGGTCAGCCCACTCCCACACTCTGATCCCCACACACAGTCACAGGGAACCTGTGTACCCCTGAGTCAGATCAGAGTCCTCCTCTGTTCAGATCCTCCCCTGGCTCCCACCTTGCTCTATAAAAGACAAAATGGTGAGACTGGAGCAGACAGAAAGCCCTACAAAACCCTACAGGAGCTGGATCCCCAATATCTGTATGACCTCATTTCCTTCCTCCTCCACCTTACCACTGTGCTCTAGTGTCACTGGTAACTCTGTGTCCCCCTAGCACGCCAGGCACACTGTTGCCCCAGGGACTTTGCTTGTGCTTTTCCTTCTGCCTGGAAAGGTCTTACCTTTATGGTCACCACTCAAGGTAAAATGATAACCCTCTCCTGCTTTATTTTTCCTTTTAATGCTTATCGCTATCTGGCATATCACATATTTGATGTATTCATTTATTGACTCCCCCACTAGAATGTCAGCTCCATGAAGGCAGAGATTTTTCTTGTCTTGTTCTCTGTTATTTCCCCAGCCCTCAAACAGGACCTGGCATAGGGGCGCCTAGGTGGCTCAGTCATTAAGTGTCTGCCTTCGGCTCAGGTCATGGTCCCAGGGTCCTGGGATCGAGCCCCGCAGCGGGCTCCCTGCTCAGCGGGAAGCCTGCTTCTCCCTCTCCCACTCCCCCAGCTTGTGTTCCCTCCCTCGCTATGTCTCTCTCTGTCAAATAAATAATAAAATCTTTAAAAAAAAAAAATTCCTGGCACATAGTGGGTGCTCAGTAAATATTTGTTGGATGAATTTCATTAATGCCTTTCAGATGGCCTCCCCGAGGAAACCCAGCAATCCGTGTCCCTTGAGGGACCCTGGTGCAGAATAGGAGTAATGCAGAGGGGTCTTTAAACCTAAATCAGTGCGTCCAGATTTGCTTTTTAATTTTTTATTTTATTTTTTTTAAAGATTTTATTTATTTATTTGAGAGAGAGAGACTGAGAGAGAGAGCACATGAGAGGGGGGAGGGTCGGGAGGGTCAGAGGGAGAAGCAGACTCCCTGCCGAGCAGGGAGCCCGATGCAGGACTCGATCCAGGGACTCCAGGATCATGACCTGAGCCAAAGGCAGTCGCTTAACCAACTGAGCCACCCAGGCGCCCAGATCTGCTTTTTTAGATATGTCACTCTGGTACTGTTTATTAATTCAGCAACTCTGAGTGTCTCCTGGAGTAAGGAAGCCCCTGCTGGACACAGAGGATCCTGACAGATCTTGTTCCTATCCGGACAGAGCTCATGGATAGGTGAAGGGTCCAACATTGAAGAACTGAACACCCAACCTGGGAGTAACTCCCCATCCTTTCTTCAGCACTGCTGTCCCCCGTCCAGTCCATCAACCCATCCTTTGACTTACCCTCCAAACACATACCCACCCTGCATCAATCACAACAAAACCCCTAACACCTTGGCAACACAGTTATAAATGCAAATGGGAAAATCCTAATTGAAGTATTAGGAAATAACAGAAAACCCTACATTTCCAGCCTGATCACTTCTCATGACCTCTGCTCTCACAGTTAGTTCAGACTGCCATCCTCTGCTAATGAGACATTGAGATGGCTGCTTGCTGGCCTCCCTGCCTATACTTCTGCGTCCCTTACAAAAACAACAATAACTTATTTGGAGAGCACTTATTGTATGCCAGGCACTGTTCTAAGTGCTTCACATATAATAACGAGGAGAACAATGACAATCGTACAGAGCAACCAGATGACTTTATAAAAATCAGTTCACGTCTATGCTTAAATCTCATCAATGGCTGCCCATTTCCACTTCAAGGCTCACCCCCGAGTCAGTCTTGCAGAAGTCACATGGTTAAGAGTTTGGTGAGGAGCTGTTTCCTAAGGAGATTCAGGAGAAGGCATGGATGGCAGGAAGGAACAAGGTGAAACCTATCGAAGGAAGTGGCTGCCAGGGAATAACATAAAGAGCCTGCCAGGCAGCCAGAGGAAACATTTATTAGTTCTGTTTTCAGCCCTTTCGGAACATACGAGAGTCCTTTCTGATGGGAAGCCTATGAGTCAGGCATTGCATTTGGGTGGCAGTAAGAAAGTTGTGAAATATCATTGGCTTAAAAAAAATTATGGAGGTGATAGGATACAGCATGGTTAAGTTATGCTGCAATAACAGACACAAAATCTCTTACTATAACAAAGGTTTATTTCTCATTCACGCTATGTCTTTTGCAGACCATTTGTGGACCTACTGTACAATATCCTAACCTGGGACTCAGGCCGAAGGAGCCTCCCCTGCTTAGAATATTGCTGGTCTTGCAGGAGGGGGAAAAGAGAAAGTAGGAAGAATCACCCAATGGCTCCTCATAAATGTTATATTTAGAAGTGGCTCATGTCACTGTCAGTCCTTTGGCCAAAGCAAGTCTATGTCAAGCCTCAGGTCACTGCAGTAGAGGTATGTAATCCTCATGTGGGGAAGGGCAGCAAATATTTTGAACAATAGTAGAATCCACCAAGGGTTTATTTTTCTCTCAAATAAAACAAATACAGAGGTTGACAGACCAGCACTTGTGTGGCAGGTTCACAATCATTAGGGCTGAGGTTCCTATCTTTCTGTGCTGTCATCCTTAGCATGCAGCTTCCTTGCAAGATGGCTGCCAAGTGCCCCAGCCATCATCACCTGGTAAGAAAAGAGAAGGAAGAGCAAAAGGCTCCAACTGTAAACTGAGTTAGCCCCCTTTATACAGCCTTCCCAGAAATCCCACCCAATGGTGAGTTCTTCATCATTGGTCACCCCCAACTACAAGGAAGACTGGGAAATGTAGTAATTTAGCTGGGCATTTAACCATCCGGAAAACATTTTGAATTGATTTTAACTTTTTTTTTTTTTTAAAGAAGGACTTCTAGCAGCGTATGCCACTACATGATCTAGAAAGATGAGCAACGAGACTACACTATTCTGTAGAAAAGGAAGACACTGGCTGTCCACTTAAAGTCGATTTTTTTTTAAATTTTTATTTTTTAAAAGATTTATTTATTTATTTGACAGAGGGAGCAAGAGAGCACAGGCAGGGGGAGCAGTAGAGGGAGAGGGAGAAGCAGGCTCCCCACTGAGCAGGGAGCCTGATCTGGGGCTTGATCCCAGGACCCTGGGATCATGACCTGAGCCAAAGGCAGACGCTTAACTGACTGAGCCACCCAGGTGCCCCTAAAGTAGATTTTTAGATTGCCCATTATAAAAGTGTTGCTATCCAGAGGAACAAAGGAGAATAAGAAAAAGACCAAGTGAGGAAGAGGGTTTTCATGATACTTTCCTCCTTTGCCCCTTGAACCGCCCTGATCCATTTGAGGACCCTTTGCATTTAAGGTACCATCCCAGATTTCTCGCACAACACGAAAGCGTTCACTGGCCAGAACATGGCCCCACCTACACAAAGGAACCTGGTGTTCTTTCAGCACAGCACATGCTGACCTCAACTAAAGTTGGAGTTTTGTTAGTAAGGAAGAAGAAAAGGAGGTGTGGAGTAGTCACTTGTCAGTCTCTGCCAAGGAGGAGGGGGTGGGGAGTGCTGCTGTAAGAGATTTCTTGTGTGTGTCCAGGCAGAATGGGGTTGATGGGAGGATTTGGATCCCAAACAGGCGAAAAGGACTGTGGCAGCCAGAGTTCCTGGCTGGGTGCCCTGGGGTTCTGCTCTTTGGGTGCCACAGCTCAGATTCTGAGTCAGCCCCTCTGTTCTCTTTCACCAGCTGCAGCCCCACCCGCCCTGTCCGTCGGCCCTTTGGCTGGGAAGTCTTGCTCCCATGCCCATCTCTGTTCATCCTGCCCACCTCCTTTCTAATGTGTCTTTTCCAGTTTCTTTATGCAATACAAGCAAATCTGAAAACGTGTTCTAATTTCCCCCTTTATCACTGTATTGGTTTCCTGTGGATACTGAAACAAATTTGATGGCTTAAAACAGCAGAAATTATCCTCTCACAGTTCTGGAGACCAGAAGTGCAAGTCAGTTTTACTGGGCCAGAATCAAGGTGTTGGCAGGGTTGCCCTCCCAGCGAGGCTGGCTGTAGGAGAGAATCTGTTTCTTGCCTCTTCCGATTTCTGGTGGCCACGTCACTCCAATCTCTGCCTTTGTGGTCACATCACCTTCTCCTCTTTCATCTGTCATAATATCCGCTCGGCCATCCTCTTACAAGGACCCTTGCGATTGCATGTTGGGCCCAAATGAACGATCTAAGATGACTTCCTCATCTCAGGATCCTTAACTTAATCACATCTTTTGTCGTGCAGCGTAGTATTCACAGGTTCCAGGGATTAGAACATGGATATCTTTTGGGGGCTGTTACCGAGCCTGACACAATTACTAAAAGCAGATATGCTCTGTTTAGAACTTTGCTTTTTTTCATGGAATGTATATGCCTGAAAATAGCATGTCAGTGCAGAGTGCCTCCACATTCTGTTTTAGGGCTGTGTGGTATTCCTTTGTGTGTTTGTGCCTGAATTTGTTACCTTGACTCCTATAGATGGTGGTGTCCCCCACTGTCTGTCACC